GATGATGGTATTTGGTGATAATGGTATGTAGTGATGATGGTGTGTACTGATTATGGCAATTCATGTTGATGACATGCAGTGATGCCGGTATGTAGTGATGGTGGTTTTTAGTGATAATGGTGTGTAGTGATGATGGTATTTAGAGATGATGGTATGTGGTGATGATGTGTATTGATGGTGGTATGTAGTGATGATGATATGTAGTTATGATGGAGAGTAGTGATGATGGTGTGTAGTGGTGATGGTATTTAGAGATGATGGTATGTGGTGATGAAAAAAATGTAGTTATGATGCTAATTCATGTTGATGACATGCAGTGATGCTGGTATGTAGTGATGATAGTTTTTAGTGATGATGGTGTGTAGTGATGATGGTATTTAGTGATGATGGTGTCTAGTGATGATGGTATTTTGTGATGATGGTGTGTAGTGATGATGGTATGTAGTTATGATGGTAATTCATGTTGCTGACATGCAATGATGCCAGTATGTGGTGATGCCGGTATGTGGTGATGATGGTGTGTAGTGATGATGGTGTGTAGTGATGATGGTGTTTAGTGACGATGGCATGTAGTGATGATCATATGTAGTGATGATTGTATGTAGTGATGCCGGTATGTGGTGATGATGGCATGCAGTGATGCTGGTATATAGTGATGATGGTGCATAGTGATGATTGTGTGTAGTGATGATGATATGTAGTGATGATGGTATATAGTGATGATGGTCTGCAGTGATACTGGTATCCGGTGATGATCACATGTAGACGTTTTGATAGACAGCCATGTCGAAGCAAATATTTTGAACACCAGTGTTGGAAATATGTGAATAGCACGACAATATCTGCCTCATTTACTTCGTATTAAATGGCTACTTTCACTATTGTGGTTTGAATGTTCAAGTACTTCCATGTTTACACAGATACGTACGCTTCCTGGCTACCTTCAAGATGGCGGTTTGAATGTTCAAGTGATTCCACTGTTTTTACCCAGATATATACACCTCCTGGCCTGCTTTACGCCGCTTAACCCGTCGCCAGCTTACATCCACCACTAGGAGCACGGGCTGTAAGGGGAGTCGGTGGTATAACTCTGGCCATATAGTGAAAATGACGAGTGTATGACACTGGCTATATCATGAGCATAACGAGTGTATGACTCTGGCTATATCATGAGCATGACGAGTGTATGACTCTGGCCATATCATGAGCATGATGAGTGTATGACTCTGGCTATATCATGAGCATGACGAGTGTATGACTCTGGCTATATCATGAGCATGACGAGTGTATGACTCTGGCCATATCATGAGCATGACGAGTGTATGACTCTGGCTATATCATGAGCATGACGAGTGTATGACTCTGGCCATATCATGAGCATGATGAGTGTATGACTCTGGCTATATCATGAGCATGACGAGTGTTTGACTAGGGCTATATCATGAGAATGACGAGTGTATGACTCTGGCTATATCATGAGCATGACGAGTGTATGACTCTGGCTATATCATGAGCATGATGAGTGTATGACTCTGGCTATATCATGAGAATGACGAGTGTATGACTGGCTATATCATGAGCATGACGGTGGTATGACACTGTCCATATCATGATGAATACGAGGGTATGACTGGCTATATCATGAGCATGACGAGAATATGACACTGGCTATATCATGAGCACGACGAGTGTATGACTCTGGCTATATCATGGGCCTGACGGTTGTATGACTGGCCATATCATGAGAATGACGAGAATATGACACTGGCTGTATCATGAGCATGACGAGTGTATGACTCTGTGAATACTCAACTGTAAAACTTTGAATGCTCAACTGTAAAACTGTGAATGCTGAACCGTAAACCGTGAATGCAAAACTGTGAATGCTCAACTGTGAAACTGTGAATGCTCAACTGTAAAACTGGAGTGTGAACGTTCTTTCGTCTCGTTCGTTTTCAGAGGATAACGGGAACTTACTTATAGCTGTGAATAGCTGTGGAACTGGTGTTATGGCGTTCAACAATATGCGCTCACTAAGTATTGTGACCGAGGTGCCCAGCTTCCTGTTGTAACATGTTGTTTACTGGATGCATAGTGTGATGCGAGGGTGTATATATAATGTTAGTACATTTAACATGCCTCCACTGTATCCACTTCAGATACAAGTGGAACATCCCGTTCACGCTCACAACCAGCTCACACATGCAGGAACGTCAGTGTAAGTGATACAGACATCGTGTGGGTGATGCGAGGTGCTGGATCAGGTGCGCGCTGTCCGCATATCCATGTTAGGAGTACACCGTAGTCACATGCTTCCCAGCTAAACCAGGTGGACATGTAGCGTGTAACTGTGGAACACTCTACACCGTCTGGCTACGACAACAAGCACTTCACACACGGACGATTACCTGGCTTTAACACTGAGTGATACACGTTGACTTATTTGTTTTTAGAACTTGATTGCATAACCCACTGATATTCCATGCCAGCTTTATTTTGTCATTATTTATTTGTCAAGTTGTTAAGTAGAATCACATGTATATTGTCTAGATGATTTTTCTACCAATGTAAACATATCGGATACAAGTGATGGCTTGAGCTCAATGACGTCTTCAGACTCCATGGCATACTAAAATGTTAAACATTCATCGAGGATGAGATAGCTCGTACAGGGATCGCATGTCGGTCTTGGGGTTTTACTTGTCTTCAGTGGTTCTGTTTCCCTCAGGAATCTGCTGGGTTTGCATATCACTGCTGTAGGAACCTGATCTATTTGCGAACTCATGGAAAACTCGTCCGACAGAATCGATCCCAGGTAGTGAGTGTACGGACTCACGGTGTATTTCGTTCGGTTCATTAACACAGGAGTCCGGTGTATTTGATTACGAATGTCACACTGTCAGTGCTCCATGGCCAGTAACGTCCTGTGTGGCATGTATAATATATAATGTAAAGTGTATGCTGTATAATGTATGTTGTATAATGTATTTTGTAGGTTGTATAACGTGTGCTATATAATGTATATATAAGGCGTGGTATAAAGTGGTCAAATATAACGTATGTTATATTTGGTGATTACAAATTCGAACCCACACCCTCATAGTCAGGCACCTAATCGCTTGGCCACTTTCTAAAATGGCATTGTGTATTTCATAGCTTTCGGCCGTGGTAGCCGTGCCAATTAACACTCATCAGAGGGGTACACAAAGCCCGCAGTCTAGACTACCAGTTGTCCGACTTCCATTTTTGTGGAAGCCACGGTGGCTGAGCGGTCTAGGCAGCTGACTTTGTGTGCTGGCGATAAGGTGCCTGACTCAAAGGGTGTGGGTTCGAATCCCGCATGGGACTCAACCCCAAAAATGTACTAGAATCTGTACTTTACTAAGAAAGTGTAATTCCAAATATAACATGTTGTATAACGTATTATGTATAATGTATGTTGCATGCTGTATAAAGTATATGTATAATCTATATATAATGTGTGTTATATAATGTATAATGCATGTATAATGTACAACGTATAATGTATAATGAATAATGTATACTGTTTATTCGTTGAGGATTTACAGGTAAGAATGTAACCATCGTAATCAATATTCAATACTTTTTGAAAGTGGTCAAGTGCAAACATGTTATATTTGTGATTATACTTTTTAAGTAAGGTACAGATTCTAGTACTCTTTTGACTCCCATCCGGGATTTGAACCCACACACATTTGGAATTGGTAGATTCCATGACACAAGGTTGTCGGAAGGTTGTAGATTAGTAACGTCATGACACAAGGTTGTGGGAAGGTTGTAGATTAGTAACGCCATGACACAGCGTTGTGGGAAGGTTGTAGAGTGGTAACGTCATGACACAGCGTTGTGGGAAGGTTGTAGAGTGGTAACGTCATGACACAGCGTTGTGGGAAGGTTGTAGAGTGGTAACGTCATGACACAACGTTGTGGGAAGGTTGTAGAGTGGTAACGTCATGACACAGCGTTGTGGGAAGGTTGTAGAGTGGTAACGTCATGACACAGCGTTGTGGGAAGGTTGTAGATTGGTAATGTCATGACGCAACGTTGTGGGAAGGTTGTAGATTTGTAACACCATGACACAACGTTATCACAACGTAAGCATTACGCCATTATATAACGTAATGTCACAACGTTATAACAACGTTTCAAATTTATGTTGAGGAAACGTTATGCATTGGGCTCCTCACAACGTTATAACAACGTTTCTTATAGCTTGGTGTCACGATTTTTTTGTAAAACGTTTCACTTTAAGATTCTTTTTACTATTTAGCTACAGCTTCAGAAAAAACACGTCCAAAACAACATGCAAATTGATGAATAAACATTTGAATGACTTTCTGCTTTTACTGACAGAACTATTAAACTATAAACGTTAAATAAAGGCAACGTAAAATACGTTAACATCGAATAACTTTATCCTTGTGGCAACGGACAAGTAACGAATCTCGACGTCAGGCCACAACGTTGTGACAACGTAAATGGGAGCCCACAGAACAACGTAACAACGAAAGTATAACGTTCTGACAGCGTTGTCACAACTTGAAAATGTTAGCTGAAATTGAATTCCACGTGGCCTAAAATGTGTTCACTCTCTCGACCACTTACAGTTTCTTTGATAACACACATTAGATGAAATCTTATTCCCTGTAGAGGGAGCGTCTTTGACGGATGAGCTGTATGTACGACAATGTCCCAGGCCCGGGAGGTAAAGTGCCCACGTACACGTGTAGGTATCGGCACGGAGACATAACTCCTTGCAGTGTCTTGCTGAAGTGGAGCTCTGGTTCTCCCGGTCACTATGGAGATGAGACACGCCCGAGAATGTCGTGAAGGTGTCTAAGAAATTCTTACAATCTGTAATACAAGAAGTGAGTAAAAGGTTCATTGTACATTGGCAGTACACAATGATATGCAATAACAATAATACTGTGCAACACTCAAGTGATAACAGCCTACAGATTCTCACTGTTGACCCCGGTATGTCGTACCCACCAGATAGCAGCCTACAGATTCTCACTGACCCTGCTTTGTCATACCCACAAGATAGCAGCCTACATATTCTCACTGACCCCGCTTTGTCATACCCACAAGATATCAGCCTACAGATTCACACTGACCCCGGTATGTTGTACTCACCAGATAGCAGCCTACTGATTCCTACTGACCCCAGTGTGTCGTACCCAGCAGATAGCAGCCTACAGATTCTCACTGACCCCAGTATGTCGTACCCACCAGATAGCAGCCTACAGATTCTCACTGACCCTGGTCTAATGTATTCACCAGACAGTAGCATGCAGATTCTCACTAACCCCTGTATGTCGTACCCACCAGATAGCAGCCTACAGATTCTCACTGACCCCTGTATGTCGTACCCATCAGATGGCAGCCTACAGATTCTCACTGACCCCTGTATGTCGTACCCACCACATAGCAGCCTACAGATTCTCACTGACCCCTGTATGTCGTACCCATCAGATGGCAGCCTACAGATTCTCACTGACCCCTGTATGTCGTACCCACCAGATAGCAGCCTACAGATTCTCACTGACCCCTGTATGTCGTACCCATCAGATGGCAGCCTACAGATTCTCACTGACCCCGGTGTATGTCGTACCAAGCAGATGACAGCCTGCAGATTCTCACTGACCACGGTATGTTGTACTCACCAGACAGCAGCCTACTGATTCCTACTGACCCCTGTATGTCGTACCAAGCAGATGACAGCCTGCAGATTCTCACTGACCCCTGTATGTTATACCAACCAGATAGAAGCCTACAGATTCTCACTGACGAATGTATGTTATACCAACCAGATAGAAGCCTACAGATTCTCACTGACGAATGTATGTTATACCAACCAGATAGAAGCCTACAGATTCTCACTGACGAATGTATGTTATACCAACCAGATAGAAGCCTACAGATTCTCACTGACGAATGTATGTTATACCAACCAGATAGAAGCCTACAGATTCTCACTGACCACTGCATGTTGTACCCACCAGATAGCAGCCTACAGATTCTCACTGACGAATGTATGTTATACCAACCAGATAGAAGCCTACAGATTCTCACTGACCACTGCATGTTGTACCCACCAGATAGCAGCCTACAGATTCTCACTGACCACTGTATGTCGTACCCACCAGATAGAAGCCTACAGATTCTCACTGACGAATGTATGTTATACCAACCAGATAGAAGCCTACAGATTCTCACTGACCACTGCATGTTGTACCCACCAGATAGCAGCCTACAGATTCTCACTGACGAATGTATGTTATACCAACCAGATAGAAGCCTACAGATTCTCACTGACCACTGCATGTTGTACCCACCAGATAGCAGCCTACAGATTCTCACTGACGAATGTATGTTATACCAACCAGATAGAAGCCTACAGATTCTCACTGACCCCTGTATGTCGTACCCATCAGATGGCAGCCTACAGATTCTCACTGACCCCTGTATGTCGTACCCACCAGATAGCAGCCTACAGATTCTCACTGACCCCTGTATGTCGTACCCATCAGATGGCAGCCTACAGATTCTCACTGACCCCTGTATGTCGTACCAAGCAGATGACAGCCTGCAGATTCTCACTGACCACGGTATGTTGTACTCACCAGACAGCAGCCTACTGATTCCTACTGACCCCTGTATGTCGTACCAAGCAGATGACAGCCTGCAGATTCTCACTGACCCCTGTATGTTATACCAACCAGATAGAAGCCTACAGATTCTCACTGACGAATGTATGTTATACCAACCAGATAGAAGCCTACAGATTCTCACTGACGAATGTATGTTATACCAACCAGATAGAAGCCTACAGATTCTCACTGACGAATGTATGTTATACCAACCAGATAGAAGCCTACAGATTCTCACTGACGAATGTATGTTATACCCACCAGATAGAAGCCTACAGATTCTCACTGACCACTGCATGTTGTACCCACCAGATAGCAGCCTACAGATTCTCACTGACCCCTGTATGTCGTACCCACCAGATAGCAGCCTACAGATTCTCACTGACGAATGTATGTTATACCAACCAGATAGAAGCCTACAGATTCTCACTGACCACTGCATGTTGTACCCACCAGATAGCAGCCTACAGATTCTCACTGACGAATGTATGTTATACCAACCAGATAGAAGCCTACAGATTCTCACTGACGAATGTATGTTATACCAACCAGATAGAAGCCTACAGATTCTCACTGACCACTGCATGTTGTACCCACCAGATAGCAGCCTACAGATTCTCACTGACGAATGTATGTTATACCAACCAGATAGCAGCCTACAGATTCTCACTGACCCTGGTCTAATGTATTCACCAGACAGTAGCATGCAGATTCTCACTAACCCCTGTATGTCGTACCCACCAGATAGCAGCCTACAGATTCTCACTGACCCCTGTATGTCGTACCCATCAGATGGCAGCCTACAGATTCTCACTGACCCCTGTATGTCGTACCCACCACATAGCAGCCTACAGATTCTCACTGACCCCTGTATGTCGTACCCATCAGATGGCAGCCTACAGATTCTCACTGACCCCTGTATGTCGTACCCACCAGATAGCAGCCTACAGATTCTCACTGACGAATGTATGTCGTACCCACCAGATAGAAGCCTACAGATTCTCACTGACGAATGTATGTTATACCAACCAGATAGAAGCCTACAGATTCTCACTGACCACTGCATGTTGTACCCACCAGATAGCAGCCTACAGATTCTCACTGACGAATGTATGTTATACCCACCAGATAGAAGCCTACAGATTCTCACTGACGAATGTATGTTATACCAACCAGATAGAAGCCTACAGATTCTCACTGACGAATGTATGTCGTACCCACCAGATAGAAGCCTACAGATTCTCACTGACGAATGTATGTTATACCAACCAGATAGAAGCCTACAGATTCTCACTGACCACTGCATGTTGTACCCACCAGATAGCAGCCTACATATTCTCACTGACCCCGGTGTGATGTATTCACCAGATAGCAGCCTACAGATTCTTACTGACCCTGCTATGTTGTACCCACCAGACAGGAGCGTACAGATTCTCACTGACGAATGTATGTTATACTCACCAGATAGCAGCCTACAGATTCTCACTGACCCCTGTATGTCGACGTCGTACTCACCAGATAGCAGCCTACAGATTCTCACTGACCCCTGTATGTCGTACCCACCAGATAGCAGCCTACAGATTCTCACTGACCCCTGTATGTCGTACCCACCAGATAGCAGCCTACAGATTCTCACTGACCCCTGTATGTCGTACCCATCAGATGGCAGCCTGCAGATTCTCACTGACCCCTGTATGACGTACCCAACAGATGGCAGCCTACTGATTCCTACTGACCCCTGTATGTCGTACCAAGCAGATGACAGCCTGCAGATTCTCACTGACCACGGTATGTTGTACTCACCAGACAGCAGCCTACTGATTCCTACTGACCCCGGCATATTGTACTCACCAGATAGCAGCCTACAGATTCTCACTGATTCGTCATATGCATATCCCAGGTCACACTGGCAGCGGTTGTTGATGCACGTGATGTGTGGAAGCTCTCTACACGGATACGTTAAATAACAAATAGATCCAATTTTGTACCCTGCAACAAGTGAAGGATATGAGGAGAGATAATGTTAATAACAATTTCCTGTAACGATATACAGAAGGAGATATACATAAGGAGATATACATGACATATACAGGACATACACAGGGGATATACAGGACATATTCAGGACATACACAGGGGATATACAGGGGATATACAGGCGATATACAGCAGGAGATATACAGGACATATACAGGACATACACAGGGGATATACAGGACATATACAGGACATATACAGGGTATATACAGGGGATATACAGCAGGAGATATACAGGACATACACAGGGGATATACAGGACATATTCAGGACAAATACATGGGATATACAGGGGATATACAGCAGGAGATATACAGGAGATATACAGGACATACACAGGAGATATACAGGGGATATACAGGACATATTCAGGACAAATACTGGAGATATACAGGGGATATACAGGACATATTCAGGACAAATACTGGAGATATACAGGGGATATACAGGACATATTCAGGACAAATACTGGAGATATACAGGGGATATACAGGACATATTCAGGACAAATACTGGAGATATACAGGGGATATACAGGACATATTCAGGACAAATACTGGAGATATACAGGGGATATACAGGGGATATACAGCAGGAGATATACAGGAGATATACAGGACATACACAGGAGATATACAGGGGATATACAGGCGATATACAGGACAAATACTGGAGATATACAGGGGATATAGAGGAGATATACAGAAGGACATGTACAGAAGGAGATATACAGAAGGAGATATACAGAAGGACATGTACAGAAGGAGATATACAGAAGGAGATATACAGAAGGAGATATACAGAAGGAGATATAGAGGAGATATACAGGAGATATAGAGGAGATATACAGAAGGACATGTACAGAAGGAGATATACAGAAGGAGATATACAGAAGGACATGTACAGAAGGAGATATACAGAAGGAGATATACAGAAGGAGATATACAGAAGGAGATATACAGAAGGACATATACAGAAGGAGATATAGAGGAGATATACAGAAGGAGATATAGAAGAGATATACAGAAGGAGATATAGAAGAGATATACAGAAGAAGGTATAGAAGAGATATACAGAAAGACATATACAGAAGACGATATAGATGAGATATACAGAAGGAGATATAGAGGAGATATACAGAAAGACATATACAGAAGGAGATATACAAAGGAGATATACAGGAGATATAGAGGAGATACACAGAAGAAGATATAGAAGAGATATACAGAAGAAGATATAGAAGAGATATACAGAAGAAGATATAGAAGAGATATACAGAAGAAGATATAGAAGAGATATACAGAAGAAGATATAGAGGAGATATACAGAAGGACATATACAGAAGACGATATAGATGAGATATACAGAAGGAGATATACATAAGGAGATATACATGACATATACAGGACATACACAGGGGATATGCAGGACATATTCAGGACATATACAGGGGATATACAGGCGATATACAGCAGGAGATATACAGGGGATATACAGGACATTCACAGGGGATAAACAGCAGGACATATACAGGAGATATACAGATTGAGATATACAGAATGATACACAGAAGTAGATATACAGGAGATATACAGAAACTGGTGTGATCACTGAGTGAGCGAGTGGGTGAGTGAGTATGGTTTTACGCAATATTCCAGCCATACTTCGACGGGAGGACACCAGAAATGGGCTTCACACGTTGTCCCCATGTGCTGAATCAAACCTGGATCTTCAGCGTTACGAGCGGAAGAATTAACCAATGGGCTACCCCACCGCCCCACTGGTCTCAGAGATCCATTCATATGAATGTCATTGCTGGTTGGCCTGTTGAATCTGATTCCGTAGACAGGAACTGCTGATTATTCGCTGGTTATTCGAATGGCAAGTATATGTCTTTCTGTATATCTCCTCTATATCTCCTGTATATCTCCTTTGTATATCTCCTTCTGTATATGTCTTTCTGTATATCTCCTCTATATATCCTTCTGTATATCTCATCTATATCGTCTTCTGTATATGTCTTTCTGTATATCTCTTCTATATCTTCTTCTGTATATCTCTTCTATATCTCCTTCTGTATATCTCCTTTGTATATCACTTTCTGTATATGTCTTTCTTCATATCTCCTCTATATCTCCTTCTGTATATCTCCTTTATATCTTCTTCTGTATATCTCCTCTATATCTCCTTCTGTATATGTCCTTCTGTATAGCCCCTCTATATCTCCTTCTGTATATCTCATCTATATCGTCTTCTGTATATGTCTTTCTGTATATCTCCTCTATATCTCCTTCTGTATATCTCATCTATATCGTCTTCTGTATATGTCTTTCTGTATATCTCTTCTATATCTTCTTCTGTATATCTCTTCTATATCTCCTTCTGTATATCTCCTTTGTATATCTCCTTCTGTATATGTCTTTCTTCATATCTCCTCTATATCTCCTTCTGTATATCTCCTTTATATCTTCTTCTGTATATCTCCTCTATATCTCCTTCTGTATATGTCTTTCTGTATATCTCCTCTATACCTTCTTCTGTATATCTCCTCTATATCTCCTTCTGCATATGTCCTTCTGTATATCTCTTCTATATCTTCTTCTGTATATCTCCTCTATATTTCCTTCCGTATATCTCATCTATATCGTCTTCTGTATATCTCCTTCTGTATATGTCCTGTATATCTCCTCTATATCTCCTTCTGTATATCTCTTCTATATCTTCTTCTGTATATCTCTTCTATATCTCCTTCTGTATATCTCCTTTGTATATCTCCTTCTGTACATGTCCTTCGTATATCTCCTCTATACCTTCTTCTGTATATCTCCTCTATATCTCCTTCTGCATATGTCCTTCTGTATATCTCTTCTATATCTTCTTCTGTATATCTCCTCTATATTTCCTTTCGTATATCTCATCTATATCGTCTTCTGTATATCTCCTTCTGTACATGTCCTTCTGTATATCTCCTCTATATCTTCTTCTGTATATCTCTTCTATATCTCTTCTGTATATCTCTTCTATATCTCCTTCTGTATATCTCATCTATATCGTCTTCTGTATATCTCATCTATATCTCCTTCTGTATATCTCCTCTATATCTCCTTCTGTATATCTCATCTATATCGTCTTCTGTATATGTCCTTCTGTATATCTCCTCTCCTCGAGATCTCTGTCCCATCCCCATCCCATCCACCCTGTCCCCCAGGAGACCCCATCTTCCATCCTCTCTCTCCATCCTCTCCATCCTCTGAGATCCTCTTCCCAGATCCTTCTTCTGTGATCTTCTATCCTGAGCATCCCCGAGATCCTCCTTCCCATGTCTCTAGAGACCCCTCCCCTTTCCCATATCCTGACCCCACTGTCTCTGTCTCCCAGGAGACCACCTCTTTCCCATCTCTTCTATCTCCTTCTAGGAGATTCTATCTCCCAGAGATCTCCTCTCTATCCCCAGGGAGATCCTCCTTCTGTCCTTCTGGACATCCCATCCTGAGAAACCTCCCAGGAGATCTCCTCCCATCTCCTCTGTCCTTCATCCTCCTCTATCCTCCCAGAGATCCTCTATCCTCCTTAGGAGATCCTCCTTCTGAGATCCTCCTAGGGAGGTCCTTCCACATTGTCCCCCATCCTTCTCATCTCCTGTCCTTCTGAGATCTCCCCGAGATCCTCCCAGGAGATCTCCCTTCTGATCTCCTTCTTAGGAGATCTCCTGAGACTCCTTCTGAGCTTGTCCTTCTTAGAGATCTCCTGAGACTTCTGGGAGGATGAAACCCCTAGGAGATCTCCTCTCCCCAGAGATTCTTCTGAGATCTCTTAGGAGATCTCCTAGGAGAGAAAACCTCCTTCTGTCCTGAGACCCTGAGATCTCCCACGGGAAACCCCAGGTCTCCTGAGATCTCCTTCTGTCCCCAGGGAGACACCTCCTCCCGAGATCTCCCCATCCTTTCCCCCAGGAGATCCTCCTCTGTCCCCAGGAGACCTCCTCCTCCCAGGGATCTCCTCCCATCTCCTCTGACCCTTCGAGATCTCCCTTCATCCCCTCTGAGATCCTCCTTCCCAGGAGATCCCCATCCATCGTCTCTCAGTTCTGTCTCTTCTATCTCTCTTAGATCCTCTTCTCCTTCAGGAGCATCCCTCCCCATGTCTTTTCTTCCACTCCCTTCTATATGTCCTTCCTGTATATCTCCTTCTGTACCACCTCTTTCTGTATATCTCTCTGTACACTCATTCTGTATATCTCCTCTATATCTCCTTCTGTATGTCTTTCTGTATATCTCTTCTGTATATCTCTACTGTATCTCCCTTCTGTATATCTCATTCTCCGTCTCTTGTATGTCTCCCTTCTGTATATCTCTTCTGTACTCTCCTTCTGTGTATCTCCTTCTGTATATCTCCTTCTGTGCATCTCTTCTAATACATCTCTCCTATATCTCTGTATATCTCCTTCTATATCTCCTTCTGTGTGTATGTCCTTCTGTATGTCCTCCTTCTGTACATCCCCATTCTGTATCATGTCCTTCTGTATATCTCATCTATACGTGTCCTTCTGTATATCTCTATCTCTCCTTGTATGAGACACTCTATGTCTCCTTCTGTGGTCTCCTCTATCTCCTCTCCTGTGTGTCATTCCTGTATCCTCCTGTATATGTCCTTCTGTATATCTCCTCTATATCTCTGTATGTCTCCTTCTGTATATCTCCTGTCTGATCCCTCTATGTCTCCTGTATATCTCCTCTATATCTCCTTCTGTATGTCTCCTCTATGTCTCCTTCTGTGCATGTCATTCTGTATATCTCCTTCTGTATATCTCCTTCTGTATCCTCTCCTTCTTTACATAGTCCTTCTGTGATCTCCTCTATCCTCATAGCCATGTCTCCTCCTATATC